AACAGGACCGTAAACACTCACCTTGTCTTCTTGTTGTTCCTTCCTCAATTGGGAATCCGAAGATTTAGCCTACATAATTGATCCCTTAAGATCAGATCCAACAGACTCACTACCTTTCACATCTTTTCTCCTATAATATGTGAATTTCCTAGGACCATTGTTGCATCCTCTACCACAACATCCCCCTGAATCTCAACCTCCACTACGCCCACCAGTATGTTTAACCATAGAATCACCTCAGCCTCCTTGAACTCCATGACCACCTCCTCTATTCCCATGACCTTCCCCTCTTGCCATTATGAAACAAACTTGTCAGATATAGTAGGATTCTTTGAAGGCCCAATAGAAATCCTACAAAGTTAGGCAAACACCTCCTCAAGAGAGGGAAGAGCAGAACCACCTAATATTTGTGCTCTAACCGACTTGTATTTAGGTTTCAGACCCACTAATAATTTGGTTACATCAAGTTGTTCCCTTTACTACTGCTGAATTTTAACATCTGATGTTAAAGGATGATATACATTAACCTCATTCCAAAAGTTTCTCACACTAGCATAATATTCCTCAAGGCTCTGATTTCCTTGCTGTAGATTAAAGTACTCTTGATAAAGTTGATACACCCTTGTAGTGTTATTTTGCCCAAAACAGAGTTTCTTACCATGATCCCAAATTTCCTTGGCTGTATCTACGAACATAAAATTCACACTAATTTTAGGCTCCATGCTATTTCACAACCATGTCATAATCTATGAATCCTCTTGTTCCCACTACCCTTGAGATTCAGCTGAGGGTTTTTCATCTTTCACATATTTTACCTTTTTTTGGTTCTAAGAAAAACTTACACTAACTTAGCCCGTGACACATTATTCTCACCATTTAATTTGATAGATGTCATTGCTGTAGATTAAAGTACTCTTGATAAAGTTGATTCACCCTTGTAGTGTTATTTTACCCAAAATAGAGTTTCTTACCATGATCCCAAATTTCCTTGGCTGTATCTACAAACATAAAATTCACACTAATTTTGTTGTGGATGCTTTTACAGCCGCTAACAGCAACAGTGATGGACAACAGCAGTAATGGGTGATTAATTCAGAGTTTAATGGACAGCAGCAGTTAGACCTGTTCATGGGCCGGGCCGGGCCGGGCTTTCACTTGTCACTAATGAAAATATACTAGGCCCGAGCCCGAGCCCGGCCCGACCAACGGGCCTATAACTTGGGCCCGAGCTCGGCCCCGGTAAAAAGCCCGAAACCTGAGCCCGAAGCCCGACCTAATTGAAAAAAAAAACAATTTTCCCTATTCAAATTAGAATTAAAAATTCAGATAGTATTTTTTTTCTATTTAAATGAACAATGGGCCTACAAGATGGTATTTTTCCCTTTCTTTTATATTTTAAAACACAATTTTACATTCTTAAATCAAAAAATTTATTCAAATGGACATAATCACATAACTAATTTTAAGTTTAATATTAGGTCAACCCGGGCTATTTTGACAAAACCCAAGCCCGCCTCTAATTTATTGCGGGCCGGGCTTTTTGGCCCGAATTTAAGCTCGCGGACTTATAAGCATGTTCAAGCCCGGCCCGGCCCGGCCCATGAACAGGTCTAGCAGCAGTAATGGGTGATTAACTCAGTGTTCTCATCTTATCTAATTCAGTGTACTCATCTTATCTAGCTAGATACAGTTCTATCTTATCTAGTAGGGAGTCTTATCTGTTCAGTGTTCTTATCTAAATTCAGTAGTATAGATCAGTAGGGAGTCCTCCTAAAAGTGGGATTCTTAT